TCCGCTGAGCCAAGCGAAGATTCCAGTGCCAAAACCGAATCAGAAGATCAAAATGAAGGGAAGAAATCATCCAGGAAAGTGGTCATCCGCAACATAAATTATATAACTTCAAAGAGGAATGGAGCGAAGGACAGCGATTCAGAGGACTCTGAGGAGGATGAAGGGTTTGTGGATGGAGATTCCATCAAGCAGCAAGTTGAAGAAGCCATTGGCTCACTGGAGAGACGACATAAATCAACTTCACGGCGTCAGAGGAAACACAAAATTCACAACGACGATGATGATTCAAGTAACAAGGAAACTAAAGGGAATGATAACTGGGATGCCTTCCAAAACCTTCTTTTGAAAGACAAAGATTCAGATCCAGAGGATTCACTACGAACATCATTATCTCCATTAAAGATGGAGTCAGAAGTTGTCAGAAAGAGAGAATTGGCTTTGGATGATTCTTTTTTGGTTGCAAATGGGAATGAGGATTGGGGAAGAGAAACAAGAATTGAGAAACTCGATGCGGGTGAGAATGTTCGTATGGTTAGAAGAGGGAACAACTATGACGAGGAGATGTTGAATCCGGGTAGAAGCGATGATACAAGAAGCTATTCACAGGCAGAGATGTCAGTTTATGATGGGAAGCTCAGAGCCAGAAATGAGGCAGAGGAAGACTGGTTCATACGTAACCAAGCAGGTCCAGAAACAGATCAAAGTCTTGTCAAAACGTTTGTAGGAGACCAATTCCACTTAAATAAGAGCAGCGAGAGAGATGTCCTGACTGATGACTCGTTTATGATCCATTCTCGCGTTGAAGGCCATGTAGAAGAGTCTCGATTAAGGACAGACATCATGGACGCAGATGTTTACGGAATCGCCCAACAAGAAAACTATGCACCCGAGATCACTCGGCATGAGCCAGATGACCTTTTCATGGTTCTTGGACGAGAACAAGATGTTACACCTGCATTGTTATCATGGACCCCTGAAATTGACTTTGAGACTAACACTTTGGCTCAAGAAACAAGCAAAATCGAATTGGAAACCGCTGCAAAGGCCTCTGCAGATGAACAACCCTCAGATGGTAAGGAAAGGAAGAGCCGTGGCGTCTCCAAGGGGAAGGATGCAAAGTCAAGAGGATCAAGTAGACCTGACCCTGCGTCGAAAGCCAAGAGACCTCCTTGGGGAAGTAGAGCTGCTGTCTCCAAGACCAAGTCCGAGCTGGTAATTTTTGTAATTTCTTCTTGTCTGTCTTCATTAGTTTCCTTTTCTCATCTGGATTTGGTATTTGATAGGAGGAAGAGAGAAAGAAGAGAATGGAAGAACTTTTGATTCAGAGGCAAAAGAGAATTGCTGAGAAGAGTTCTGGTGGTACTGTATCAACCTCCTTAACGTCCAAGAAAACTCCTACTGCAACCAAAACCGTTAAGACATCGATAAAGAAGGAGAAGACCCCAGAAACCCCGCAGTCAAAGGCTAAGCCAGTACTGAGAAGTTCCACCATTGAGCGTCTTGCTGCTGCCCGGACTGCACCAAAGGAGCCACAACAAAAACCAGTAATCAAAAGAACATCGAAACCTTTAGGAAACAAGATTGAGAAACCTCAGGACAAGAAATCGACTAAAATAGGTAAATCCAATGCGAAAAGCCTGGAACTTTCTCGTGAACCGAGTCTCGAAATCAAGGAAGCAGTGGAAGATTCACTGTCTTACTTGTCCAAGAAGCAAGTTGATGAACCTCCGGCTTCTTCTGTTGATGATTTTAAAGACATTAAAGAGTTTCATAGCCTGCCTTCAGACGAAACTCCCAGAGGAAACAACGGACCTAATGAAAACACCTCCGATGCAACATCGAATTCCGATCATCAGAAAGTACAAGATCAGACAAAAATTAATGATCAGGAAACAGTGAAGAAAACATCTGTTTGTGAGGATGAGAAAATGGATGATGCCGGGGAAATCAAGGTTTCACAGACAAAACCGGCATCTCCTAAGAAATCGGTGACCTTTTCGGAGACAAACATGGAGGAGAAGTATTATTTTTCACCAAGGGTCTCGGAGATTGACATCTCGACACCACCGGCGACTGAAGCAGATCATTCGAGGAAGAAATGGAACAGTGAAGAGACGTCTCCAAAGGCAACGGCTAAAGTCTTCCGGAAGCTCCTTATGTTCGGAAGGAAAAACCGGAGTTAGGTTTCTTCTTCGCCGGAATCATCGGATTCATGTTTCATATTTCTCTCCTTAATAATTCTTTAAATTTTTTTCTAGTGTGATATCCAAATTGTGTTCTGT